ACATCTGATGTTTTACATAAGCTTCACAACTCTGAATCTTCATAAAAGACATATTAGGGCTCTTCCCAGTCCATATCTCGTATGGTGTCTTTTGAACTGATTTAGATGGAACACGATTTAGTGTGAAAGCGGTTGTTTCAAGTGCATATCCCTAAAAAGAACTTAGAAGATCACTATGGCTCATCATCGATCGAACCATGTCTAACAGTGTTCGATTCCTTCTTTTAGAAACTCCATTCCATTGTGGTGTACCAGGTGGTGTAAGCTCTGAGACAATCCATATTCTTTCAAGAGTTCATTAAACTTTATGCTTAAGTATTCTCCACCTCGATCTGATCGAAGTGCCTTAATACTCTTGCCTAGTTGATTTTGTACTTCATTTTTAAATTCCTTAAACTTTTCAAGGGCTTCAGATTTATGGCGCATAAGATAAATATACCCATACAGACTGAAGTCATCGGTGAAAATAATGAAGTAATGAAATCCACCTCTGGCTTGTGTATTCATCGGTCCACATACATCACTATGTATTAACCCCAATAAATCTCTTGCTCGCTCACATTTACTATTAAAAGGAGCTTTAGTCATTTTTCCAACAAGTAAGATTTGCATACATCATATTGTTCGAAAACAAATGACTCTAGGAATCAATATTTATAGAGTTTTGATATGTGTTTCTCACTTATATGGCCTAAAAGAAAATGCCAAAGATGAGTTTGATTCAAGTAATTTGTTTTTGATCTTTTAGTATTTATGTTATAAATGGTGTTTTTTGATCCAAAATTTAGAGACCATTAACCAATTGTGTCAAACCATAAAAAACATTATCGAGATAAAAAGAACAATAATTATTCTTAATAATAATCTCAAAACCAATTTTGTCCAAACAAGAAATAGAAATAATGTTCTTAGTCAAACTAGGCAAAAAAAACATTCTTTTAAATTTAAATCAAGTCCACTAGGCAAAGAGAAAACATATGTCCCTATAGCTAATGCAACAACTCTTGCTCCATTTCCCACTTGTAGGTCTACGTCTCCTTTAGCCAAATTCCTTCTCTTTTGCAGTCCCTGTAAGAAAGTACAAATATGAGAACCACAACTGGTATATAATACCCAAGAAGTAGATGCTAACAAATTAAAATCAATAACATAAATATATGAAACAAACATTTTGTTTGCTTTTGCCTTCTTGAGCTCTTCAAGGTAAACAGGGCAGTTTCTCTTCTTGTGTCCGGTCCTATCATAATGGAAACATTTTACTTCCTTTCTAACTCCCCATTTTGGTTTCCATGCATTTTTTCCTTTCGGTTTGGCCTTACCATTGCCCTTAGACTTTGCCACTACATTTTTCTTTCCCTTTCCTTTGTCCTTGTGGACCATCAGAATGGGCTTAGGTCCAACCTTTTTCATGTTACTTTCAGTAGTTTGTAACAGGCCAATTAACTGTGGAAAAGTCTTGTTAATTTCATTCATGTTGGAATTAAGGACAAATTGGCTAAAGCTATCTCGAAACGATTACAGGATAACATCGGTAGCCAATTTATCTTTGAGAGAAAATCCCAACTTTTCCAACATTTTGATGTAGCCCATCATCTTGATAACATGAGCTCCTACAGGAGTTCCCTCTACCATTTTAAATTGAAAAAGAGCTTTAGAGGTCTCATATCTCTCTTTACGTTCTTTCCCTTCATATATTTCTTTGAGATTTTGTATCATCTCATATGCAACCATGTCCTCATGTTGCTTCTGAAGCTCGAGAGTCATGGTGGCAAGCATTAGACATCCAACATCTAACATATCATCCACATGTTTCTTGAATTTTTCTTTACCAGCTCTTGAAGCTTTTAGCTGCCGGTTCATCAGAAACAGGTTCTTCAATGACATATCCCATCCTTTCATGTTTGAGAACAATTCTCAAATTACGAAACCAGTCAAGGAAGTTTATGCCAATAAGTTTATCCTTCTCAAGGAGTGATCGCAGTGATAAAGTGTTGTTCGCCATTAAATCTACAATAATGGAAATATTAAAGTAAGTAAATTTATCAAATTAAAATGTATAAATAGGTCTTTATTTACAAATTAATCGCAATATTTTATTCAAAATTAAAAACCCTCTCTGTTTTAATTTCAGAAAAATTCAACGAAAATTTTTCTAGTGGGTGAGGATCCATAATACATCAATTTCCTCATTTTGGTGAACAACTCTTATTCAAGTCATCTCGTGACTTATCCAAATATTTAACCTCTAGGTTTCTAATCCTATTAGAATAACCTAGATAAGTTATTACCAATATCTCAACCGGTGAATATCACTTGCTTATGCTTCGCGTTTAACCAAGATAGATTTATGTGTCAATGCTTTAGCAAAGCCCACACAATATCGATCGAAGCCTTAACGAGGGTAAATATTGGATGGTTAAGTTAACTTAGATTATAAAGAGGAATTCGCATAATTATGTCATCATTGTTCGTTTTAATTTTAGGCCCTTATTGATCTCATCAATATTTATTTTTATTTTATCATTTGATGCATTACATACATAAAAGATATAGAAATAAATAATATGCAATGGTTATAGCCCAAAATAATAACTGAGGTGGCCCATCCCAAGCAAATGGGAGAACCAAAAAACCCTAAAGCCTAAGACTGCTCTCTATGTATCTTCTCGTCATTCTTCTTCTCCTTGTGAATCTTTATAGGATTACAATTTTAAAAGAAACTCGTTTTACATATGAGGGAGTAAGATGAGAAGTGAAATACAACAGAGATATAGAATGGCATGACTCGCATATTGTATTACAAATTAAACCATTATAAATTGAACAGGGGATGTAACCATGCATGTCAAAGACCGTGCAAAACAAACATATCATATATATACACACAATGTTACACCTTTGTTTAAAATATTAATATGGGCCTTCAATTTGTACTGCTGATGAGGGGTCAAAAGGAGAAGCCCCTTGTGGGGTCTAAGGGCAGAGCCCGTAGCGCGCATCAGCCGGTGGGATTTTTTGAAAAACAGTACTTTCGTTTCTATCGAAAAACCTCATGATTTGATAACACTTATTAACAGAATCGTGCTTTTAGGATTTTTAATCCCGAAGGTTTTCTGCATCAGAGAAACCATTGTTCCACTGCCAAACACGATCTGCTATCGTACTCCCACGGATTATCATGTCAATGATTGACATAAGGATTTCGTAAAATCCTTGCAGCAACAAATCGATTGAAAAATAGATTAACAAATTAACATATTAATCGATGTGATTATTGATTCGAACAATGACATCATGCATATTTACCGAACACAATAAAACTAGAACATGAATCTCATACATATCTCATTAACCAAGAATTTAACCCAAAATTGGATCATACAAGTGGCTTTGATACCACTGTTGAGACCGTCGGCGTACCCCACGACGCAGCGGTAACAAAAGTCGACGGTCTCACCAGCGATCCAAGTACGTAAAACCAAAATCGGGAGGAAAGGATGTGAATACGTACAATGGGTTCCTTGAAAAACAGTAAAGACAGCAGGGGAAGTGGTGATAACGAACGATTCGAATCATAAGCCTTAACGAAAACATATCTCGGCCTCTACTTAATTCACCCGATTGAGAGTAAAATTTTCTTTTCCCAAAAACAGTTTTGAGAAAAAAGGTTGAAGTAAAAACGACTACTACACCTTACCTCCTTTAAATATATCAACTACCCTAACATATTAGGGTTTTTAAAGTTATTTCAAATTAATAAATAAAATATTATTTAATTAATTCAAATTAAATATACATTAAAGACTTATAATCTGTATTACAATCATTAATGTTTATTTAAAATCTTATTTAATTATTTCGAATTATATATCAATTAAAAGAGTTGTAATCTAAATTACATTCTTTTAATGCTTACTTACAATATTCGGGATAATTAAATTCATATGTATATCAAATATACATATCTTAACCCTATATATATTTTAGTAACATACAACAAATTGTACATCTTTGCTCATTTCAATCCTAGGGTGTGACCCTATAGGTTCTTGTAACGTTAGTAGTAATTATTAGAACAATTCTAATATTACATACAATGAGTGACATCTAGCAATATATCATTGTCACCTAAGTTACAAGAAATTAGGATTCGACATATCATCTTCGTGATTAACTCTTTTATGTATTACATCATTTTATCCTTTATATCGAGAATAGGCATAAGTCTTAGAATAGTCACACTTGTATAGCCCATCTATTATTTCTTGATATCTAGTGTATACTATAATTAATGAATAATTTGTGATATCAAATATCAACTTATTTGAGCATGGCCATGCATTTCTAGTATCACTCAATCAAGTGGCATTGATATATTTCCTATTATATAGGCAGGATAAATCCTATCTTAACGATATACACCCCACTACATATATCGAGATATATTCAATAACAGTTTTTATAGTGCAGCCAGTTATGAAGCATGTTTAACTGTATCAAAATATACAACAATATATATTGGGTTGACATTGATCTCAAGTATGATGATCATACATATAGTCATCACAATGAGTAATGTTATGACTGTTACATAATAATCCAAGACACATGCTTATGATGGGTCAATTTAATATGTTGTTCTCTAACAATATAATCATGTATCAATTCTGACATCTTTATGTCCATGACAACTTCTTGTCATCAATCAATAACATGTTAGTCTTAAGCATGTTATTATTGTCCATGCCCATAATAATACATGACTATGGATCTTTTAATAATGTTATTATATAGACTTTATTATCTTTCAGTTTATGTTAAACACAGAAATATAACTGAAAATAATATTAGCAATGCCTTTATACAAAAAATAGGTAAATAATTGTGTTATTACAATCATCATATGATTGGCCTTTGGGCATACTCTAACACACCCACCACCCATCCCGCAGAGGTTAAAGAAGCAAAATCAAGACCTTCAATTCAAGAAGTTTATAGAAATGATTGATCAACTATACATCAATGTTCCCTTCTTGGAGGATATTGGTCAGATGCCTACTTATGTGAAATTCCTCAAGCATATTGTTACCAAGAAGAGGAAGGTTGAGAAGTATGAAACAGTTACTATAGCAAAAGACTACTGTTATGTACTGAGCAAGCTGCTACCTAAGAGAAAAGATACTGGCAGCTTCATCATTCCTTATTCTATAGGCTATAACTATATAAGGAGAACCCTATATGATATTGGATCAAATGTGAACTTAATACTCAAGTCAATATTTCTAAAGCTTGGTATGGGAAATGCAAGACCGACCACCATTATCATGCAACTTGCTGATCTATCCTATGTCTAACTCGAAAGAAGAATTAAAGATGTTGTGCATAAGGTGGACAAGCTTGTGTCCCTTGTTGATTTCTTCATTCTAGATTATGAAGATGATGACAATGAGCCCATCATTTTAAGGTAACTATTCCTAGTCATTAGTCGAATTTTAATCGACTGTGAGTAGGGAATTCACCATGCGAGTGTCTGATCAATGTGTCACTATTAATGTATGAAATACACTTAGATATGTGGATGATTTTGAGGAGTGTTAATGTGTGATGGACATAGACATGATGGTAGAAGAGGAAGCTGTAGAATTTTGATACAAAATTTCATGCATATTAAGGACTATGAGAAGCTAAATTGAGATAAAGGAGAGGAATTCAAGGATTAAACCTTGCTTGAGATAGTATCTTATAGTCTTAAACCTAAGCAAGAAAATAACTTGTTAAATGTATTATCTCAATATAAGAAAGCTTTAGGATGGACTATGGTTGACTTAAAGGAAATAAGCCCTACTATTTGTATACACAAATTTTTGCTTAATGAATGCCACAGTAATTATATTAAACCCCAAAAGAAGCCTTAACCCGGTCATGAAGTTGCAATAATTATGTTGAACCACACTATTTAACTTAGAGGCTAAGGATCAAAAAGGAACTGAAAACCAAGTTGCTAATCTTCTTTCTAGTCTAGAAAAAAAGTTGCATAGGACATAAATGTATAAATAAAAGGGGAATTCCCTGACGAAAAAATTTTATTTGTTGTGGAAATTCTATGGTATACTGATATTTTTAAGTTTATTATTAGTGGTATTTTTCCTTATGATTTGAATAGAAAGGGTAAAAGAAAATTCAAGCATATTATGAGGTTCAACTATTAGGACGAGTCGTGCTTTTCAAAGTAATGTGTCAGCAAGATGATTCAAAGATGTGTCCCCAAAGAAAAGCAAGAGTAAGATTTTATACTATTGTCACACAACTCCTTGTGGAGGCCATTTGGGAGAAGTTAGGACTACTGCAAAGGTCCTATAATTTAGTTTTTACTAGCCCACACTTTTCAAGGATGTGCACGAGTTTTACAAAGCATGTGATAGATGTCAACTCACTGGAAACATCACTCGCAGACATGAAATGCCGTTGTAAAATATCTTAGAGGTTGAACTCTTTGATGTATTGGGAATAGTTTTAATATGACCCTTCTCATCTACCTTTGGCGATCTTTACATTCTCTTAGCAGTGGATTATGTATCAAATTGGGCTGAGGTCGTGGTTACTCCAAGGAACGACTCCAAGATTATCCTCAAGTTTCTTTATAAGAATATCTTCACGAGGTTTACGACACCCAGAGCCATCATAAGTGATTAAGGTACCCATTTTGACAACAAGTTAATTTCTAAGTCATTGAATGGATATGGGGTGAAACACAAGAGTGCTTCAGCATATCACCCCCAGAACAATGGGTAGGCTGAAGAGCATATAGTGAACCCAAGAGAAATTATTGGTCTTCCAAGCTAGATAAAACACTATGGGCATATCGCACAACATTCAAGACACCACTTAGGATGTCACATTTCAAGCTCGTCTATGGCAAGGTGTGTCATCTTCCTATGGATCAGAGCATTAAGCCTATTGGGAAATAAAAAAAAAATTAACTTTGATGCTCAGCTAGCTGGTGAGAAAATATTGATGGAGTTGAATGAGAGGAATGAATTCCGAGTTTAGGCCTAAGAGAATGATGGTCTTTATAAGGAGAAAACGGAGAGTGACACCACAAACATCTTTTCCATGATATTTCTATGAAGGACATTAAGTCCTCCTTTATAATTCAAGGCTCAAGCTATTTCCAGGCAAGCTCAAGTGAAGTTGGTATGGCCTTTTCATAGTGCATCATGTTTACCCTCACAGAGTTATAGACATCAAGAACGTCGATGATAGCATAATTTTTAAGGTCAACGACCAATGCCTTAAGGCATACATTGGAGCTCCAATAATAACGGAGAGTGACACCACAAACATCTTTTCCATGATATTTCTATGAAGGACATTAAGTCCTCCTTTATAATTCAAGGCTCAAGCTATTCCCAGGCAAGCTCAAGTGAAGTTGGTATGGCCTTTTCATAGTGCATCATGTTTACCCTCACAGAGTTATAGACATCAAGAACGTCGATGATAGCATAATTTTTAAGGTCAACGACCAATGCCTTAAGGCATACATTGGAGCTCCAATAATAAGAGACAAATCCTCCCTTATCCTCCATGATTCTTGAGATTTTGCACTCACCCATTACTTCTTTATTTTACTACAACATTTTTATTTTGAGCTTTGTTCATAAATAAATTCTTTATGTTACATGTTTATCTTTTTGTCTTTATATTTTACAATTTATTTTTAGTTCTATGGACAGGTAGCAATGTAGGGCTAAAATAGCAGAAAAGTTGAAACCAAAATCCTAAATCCAGGAATTAGACAAAAAAAAAGGGCCCAAAATTTTTATTTTTATTTTCAAACCCCCAATCACATCATATTTTTAAATTATTTCCTTTTCTCTTTCATACCTTTTGATTTTCCATTAAATTCCCATAAAATTTTCTCTCTTCCTAAAACTCCAATCCCATGTCACATACTTTATAACTGTTCATCCCTTTCTTTTACCCCACTTTCTTTCCAAATTTTATTTTGTTTTCTCTTTTTTCATAATATTCTTTGTCGTGCAACTACGATAGAGACCATCTTCAAGATTTATTTCCTCATCATCTTACAACAACTTCTTCATCTTAAACATTTAAACAAATTTTCATATAGAAGTTTCAAGATGAAGATGCCAAGGAACATTTTCAAGGCATCAACCACAACATCTACTTCAAGCAAGGGTTTTTCTTCCTGACAACTGAGGAGGAGGGTTTTGATCAGAGGTGTAATACCCCAAATATCATGTCAGTGACTATATTAAAAGGATTTAAAAATCTTGAGGATTAAATAAAATAAATGGTAAAGGATAAGAAATGATTTAGATATAGTGTTTAAGACCAATTAGTAACAATGGAAGAATAAAGATGACATTTTGGTTTTTTAAGGGGAAATGAATTTAAAATTCATTTCTTATTAGGGTTTAAGAAAGGAAAAAAGGGAAAGTTAAAATAAAACTAAGCCATCTCTTCTCCTTCTTCCAGTGTTCACGTGCTCTCCACCATAGCCAAGGTAAGGTCTCATTTAACTAGATTTTCCTTTCGTTTTTTGTTTGTTCTTGAAACCTTGAGTATTATAGAGGCTTAAAGAATGGTTAAAGAGGATTAAAATTAAGAGATGGATGTTTTATTTGAGATTGAAGGAAATGAGTTTTTGAATGTCATGTTGGAATATGAGTTTTTATTGATGTTTATTAGTATATTTGACTTGTCAAAGAAGTAAATAAGAGATTAGAAGCCTTGGATATGATTACAAACATGTTAGAAAAAGTGGTATGATTCTTGGTTTGAGATGTTCTTTGGGGATTTTAGATGTTATAAGAAGCTAAATAAAGGAAAGTTAGTTGGGATAAGTAAAAAAAAGTTTAATAGTATTGTTGGAGGTAAAATTAAGATATTTAAGGGAAATTTAGTAAAAATCGGGCTAAAAATGGAAAATCTGTGTAAGGGTATTGGTACTGATAAATCATTACCAGTATTATAGGTTTAAATTGGTATAAATATGATGAAAAGTATCGTTACTGATGCAATTAGTATCGCTACTAAAGTGGGTATCGATACTAAGAGAAAGGTATTGATACCATGGATTTCCAAAATGTAGAAATGGTATCGATACTGAAGGGGAGTATCGATACCACAATATAGAAGTATCGATACCATGATAGGTGTACCGATACTATTGAGCCTGAAATTGTAAGATAGGCTGAAATTGTAATAAAAATTCAAAATAATAGTATTTTTTAGTATTATTAAAGTATAAATGTTAGAGAGTATACTGACATTGGTATGGTATGTGTACTTAATGGATACTTGTGTAGATCATAACGAAGCTCCAGAGTCAAGCAAGAAAAAGGGCAAGTACAAAGTTGCCGAGTAGTTAGACATCATTATAGCATACTAGGGAGGCATATCAGGTGAGTGTATTTATTGTAGTTATATGGGATGAAGAAGACTCGTAAAGAGTCAATCTCCAATGTTTTTATTTAATGTATGTTTTATATTAATTGATATATTTTATAATCTGTATGGAAATGATATCATGAATAAGTTTAGAGTTTAGAGTGTGAATTTCTCTATAATGTAAAAATGGTGCATTTTTTGTAGAAAGGTGTCACTAATGCAAGTTAAGTGCCTAACGGTACAATTTTGGCAGAAAGGTGCCACTAATGCAAGTTAGATGAAAAATGGTGCATTTTGGCAGAAAGGTGCCACTAATGATAGTTAAATGCATAACGGTGCATTTTGGCATAAAAAATGCCACTCATGGTTTAACTAAAAACGGTTTTAAATGATTTTAATGAAGTATATTAATTATCTCAGATTCTGATAGTTATTATATGTTTATGAATGAATTGTAGTTCATTTACAATATTATGTCTCATTAAGTAAAGACTTAGCGTGTGTTGATTTCACGCGTAGGTAAAAGCAAATACTAGCCAGGTAAGGGGTGCAGTAGCAACTATCATCAATCTAAGGTTGACTCTCATTAGTAACAGTAGGACAATCATGTTTATTTTGAAAATTAGTTGGCATGTAATCGACTTTAAGATAAATTCTATGGAATGTATTGAAAGTGATAATTTGTAGTAATATGTTTCAATGAATGTTTTATTTTTGTATTAAAATGTTTTGTTTTAATTTTGAAACCAAATTTTATGGCTTTTACAAATGAGTGAATATTTTTAAAAGGTTATGTGATACCTATGACTTGTGTACGAAAATGTATACGGTAAATGGGTGTTACAAGAGGTGATGGACATAGTGACTAAACACGAGTGGAAAAAGTTTGCCCAACACTGAAGATATGTTGCTACAGTATTGGTCAGAGGATTTTATGCAC